CCAACCTCTGCAGTCGAGGTACGATCTAACGATCTCACGACTGGGACAAGCATGTTAGAACCCGTGACAGAGGCACGGTTGTACCGAGAGAATCAGACGAACACTGTAGATTTGGGGGGCAGTTACTCGACGGAGGAAACGAGCGTGCGACGACCAACTGACGAAAAGAATTCGACAAAAGATGACGAAGAATCAAAGTTGGTCCCAGCCACGACTGTTCCTCCAGCTAGTACGGTCGAAACGACAGCTGACAAATCGAGCAGACCGAAAAATCGTCGTCGACAAAAGATCGAGTTCAATGCCAATTACGAATTCGGGCGCAAGTATCGCCCGTATCTAAATAACGATCAAGAGGATTCGACGAAGGAGGCAAAGAGAACGCAGTTGCCTCGTCGCAGAGTCGCTAGTTACAGTTACAGAGGACGGCATCGCAGACCATCTGTCGTTGCCAGTACCGTTGCGAACGACTTTGAAGTGGAAACCGATCCCGTAAACGGAACGAGAGCGAACGATCTAGCGACAGATGGGAAACACGACGGAGAAAATTTGAAGGAGAAAGAGACGAGCGTGGAAAAGAAGGTCGTGCCGAAGACAAATCTGACCGGCAGCGAGGAGGAGGAACCTCTTAGGATAGAGGGGAATGTCGGTCGAACGGAGCCCGAGGTCAGTTTAGACTTTAAATTCCCTGCATTTGCGACTCACGACGATGGGAGGAAGAAGTGTAACAACTTCGAACAATTTGGTGTTCTCTTAACTCGGATGCTATCGCTCGTGCTTTCTCTTGTCTGTCTCTCTCTCTCTCTTCCTCTCTGTCTCTATCTCCCTATCTCTCTCTGTCGCTCTCCTCACATCTAACTAATTGTCAAACGAAGCGGGAACGCGCAACGGTAAATCAAAATGGCGGAACGATCGAGTCCTCGACGCAGTTGTCCACCCGGGACGAGGAAAGTGAACGAAAATCTGCTCGTCAATGATAGAAAACGCGCGATCAATCGCTCAATGAAGAAAGAAGTCGCACGACAACAGGAGGGAAAGTGTCTCCGAAAGGAAGATGTTCATCGGCCATCTTTTCCGCCACCGTCTCACTTTTGTGATTTTGCTCTATTCTTCAATCAATTAACACCGTTCTCTCTTTCTACGAGAGAGGCGCTGCGCTTACTCTTGTTTCATTTTAAGAACGTTATGGATGTTACCTGTAACCCTTTGTGCTTTGCTATTTTTATACACGCGTATGTATACATGTATATATATATATA